TCGAGCTCACGGTCTGTCACAGACAATGCGTGCGAGTTCAATGGGACCAGTGTGCAGGAAAACTGGGCACAGTCAGACGAGGTCAGAGCATATAGTGTTCAGTCACACTTTACACACAAACTTTGGTGCCGGCTGAATTGTTTCACAGGGGTGGTTTATTTTTTTTTTTTTATTTTCCCCCCCCCCCCACATTAATGGAGAATGGCAAAATTGATATCAAACGTTTGTCCTTTTTTTTTTTTTTTTTTTTTTTTTTTGAATGGAGGCTGTTTTGTACCTTGACATTGAATAAAATTTGGTATTGGACTATGCTGCTTTTTTGTGTGTGTTTGAATTAAGACCGACTCGATGGCCGCTCTATGTATAATGGCTCATTTATCCAAATATCTAATCGGCCAATCGCATGGCAGCAACTTTCAATGTGGTATGGTTGGTGGTGCCAGACAGGCTGATCGGAGTATTTTAGAAACTGCTGATCTGCAGGGATTTTTCCCACACAACCATCTCTGGGTCTGAAAGAGAAAATAACCAGTGTGCAGCACTTTTTCTTTGCAAGGTTATTGTTAAATAAAACTTGATGTGAAAATGAAATTTAAATGGATATGTTATTTTTGTAAACGTGGAAAACAAATACAGAAGAAACATCCTTAGTATTTGTTAATTAATTTTATTACAACTTACCTGATCTTTATTTAGACTTTGGATATTTACACGACTGAGTCATCTGTCTTTATTAAAACACCTACACTGATTCTTCGAAATCTTGCCTCTGGCATATGCCCTTCATACAATAATAATTCAAAAGATTAAAACACTGAAACTGATAAATGTAAAACAATACACTCTGGAAAATAAACCTGAAATTTAAAAAAAAAAAAAAAAAAAAAAAAAATCCAACACCACAAACTGGTCCTCTGGGCCTTTGTGATGTCAGAGTTCAAAGAATGCTTTGAATAAGAAGGAAACAGTGACTCAAATTAACCACTCATTAACCAAAGTATACAGAAGAGCATCTCTTAATGCAGAACCTGTCAAAGCTTGAAGCAGATGGGCTACAGGAGCAAAAGACAGCACAGGGCGACACCACAATGTACATGAATATTGTAGCTGACCATGCCCATCCCTTTTAAAATTCTAACAGCTGCTTTCAGCAGGATAATGGACCATGTCATAAAGCATAAATCACCTCAAACTGGTTTTGTGAACATGACAATGAGTTTTCTGTACTCAGATGACCTCCACAGTAACCAGATCTCAATCTGGCATCATGTCAATAAGGGCTAAAATGTCCATATTGGTGTAGCATATGAATTGTCCAGTGAGTGCGTGCTGGTGTCAGTTCAGTCAAATGAAACGTGTATTTAAATGCTGTTTGAATTTGGCTTTACAAATTTACTATCTGCAAAAGCATAACTGATTTTATATTGACCTTGTAGGTGTGTGTGTGTGTGTGTGTCTGTGTGCATGTGTCATGGAAAACTGTGAGACACCTACTGTCATATTAACAGCTGTAAGTTTGGGTTTCAAATGCTCTGGCAAGTGTTTGTTTTGTCAGCAGTGCAGCAGAGCTCCAAATGAAGGCTGAGTTCAACAATCAGTGTGGTTTGCCCTTTCAGTAGTTGTCTAACTAGAAAGACATTCAGAGGTCGTAGATGTCTGCCAAAGCCTGTGTACTATTTCACAGTTTTAAGGAAAGTGATACAGATCTGTACAAAATTGAGCAGTGTCTTCCTCTGAAAACACTCTCACCAAGCTTCATTAAATTTGGCTAGATAGATTCTGGGCTATGTTGGAGATAATAGATTTTTCATAAAGATGTAACTGTGAACAAAACACTCCCATTTCTCTCTCTATATATATATCTATCTATATATCTATCTCTCTATATATATAAAAAAAAAAAAAAACAGAATAAAAAAATAAAACCACAATTGATTTGGTGCTATAATTTTTCAATACTTATTCACTATGAAATCCATACGGGGTGTGAACTTGGGCGTGATATTTAGACTGACACATATTTTGAATTTGTGCCATAGCATTTATGTGTAACCAAGAAACAATGTATACATCCGTCACAGGTAAATCCAGGCAAGCTAAAAAGGACAATTGAAGATAGAACAAACCAGGCAGAGATGACGTAATATAAGATGGGAAGGGTCATGAATAACATTGCAATAAGTAACCAAGTCCCAGTATAACAAATAAAATAAGTTACATATTGCTATATATCTGTAGTCTGTTAACTAGTTTTATATAAACCTGGACAGTTAGAAACTGTACACGTATGGTCAGAAATTGACATCAACAAATAATTCTGACTGAATATTTGCTCATTCAATTTTCAATAGGATCAAGGCCCGGGGCTTTGGGGAGGTGAATTCTAGAAGCTGAATGTTGGTCTGCTTTAGCCATTTGAAAACCAGTTTTAATATGTTCTTGGGATCATTGTCTTGTTGGATGACCCAACTGTGTCCAAGTGTTAACTGTCTAGCTGTTGATACAAAGTCAAGTTGAAGCACTTGTATACACAAGGTGAAACCAGGCAAGCCAAAAAGGACACTTGAAGATACAACAAATTGGTTGTTTATTGTAGTTTGCGGGTTGTTCCTGATCATCCCAACCAATTTTCTCTCATCTGAGGGTGATAATTTGGGTCCTCTTCCAGACCTTGGCAAAGTGGTGATACATCTGAATAACGTGTACTGATGTAAAGTTATTTGAACTGATGATCTTGGACTCTTGACTCTTAAAAGCCACAAATTACCATGATATTCATGCCCATAACCCCCAGTGTGTTTAAACTACTGACTGCAACTGTGTATGTTTAGTCCCGGGGTTTCCGACCTAGACCTATGTAGTCATGAGATAAACGTGAGGAGTTTTAGTTATTTAAATGAAATGGTCTCATAAGATTTGAGGCCAATTGGGACACTGCATGAACTGAAAATACTTCATCTGACTTAAAGAATTTCGGAACACTTTTACTGCCTTTCTGCGAAGATCTGTCTGCTCACTACTTTCCTGTAATGTTTTTGTTTGTGTAACTCTTCTCTCCTCCTAAAAAGCAGAACTAACCCTGCCATATCTGTGGTAACACAGACAGTAATGAAAACAGGACACGTTGGTTGAAATCTGACACTGGACACAAACTGCAGTAACTCTGCAGCTGCGCCACCTACTGTTCACAGAGGAGATCAACGCCCGGAAAACATCACCGGATGTTTGCCAGAAATCGCGCGATATCTGGCCTTGCGAGACTTCTGGCCGTTCTTTTCCCCCGGAACATCAGGCAAGATGGTAGGTGTTTGTACCGTCTCGCAGCTAGTCAGACTACAATCTGTATGCATCGGGGCTCTAAAGTTGCTGATTTGAACAGCTGACTGTGTCATCGAATAGTTCCACAGTTTTTATTACCATCCAGTAGAAAATCGTTGCTCCAAATGAAAGATTAAACTGTGTTTACAGCCTCCGTACTAGCCGGAGCTATGGCTAAGCTAACCCGGTGGTAGAGCGTTACTCGTAGCAGTAGCTGAAATAAAATAATCATTATAATATTACTGTAGTTGGTTGTGCATGGGTTATTAAACCGACCTGTAGACGTTTAATGGTGAAAATGAGTGACGCCTGTTAAATTCTGAAGCATCAGTGTAAAATGCTAAGCTACCTACTCACCGGGGTGATCCCGTTTCTTCCAGGCGGATACCGAGATCAAGAAGAAGCGTACCTTCAGGAAGTTCACATACAGAGGTGTGGACCTGGACCAGCTTCTGGACATGTCCTAGTAAGTGACACAACTGATACGGTCACTGGTGATGTCATTCAGTCAACTAGAGTTACTGTACTACTACTGCACATCCTGACAACGTAATTTGTTGTCACAGTAAGACACTCACAGAGGGGTTTATAAGTGATAATACTGACTCACTAAAAATCAAATAAAATTGTCAAATTTTTAAGATGATTTATTCAACTCTGATGCTTGCAGGTCAAAACTGAATAAAGAGGCTTGAGACTGGACACTGAAACTAGAATTTACTTGTCTAATATTGGCAGCCATTTTTATTTTTTTTTACCTTTATGTGTCTGACAGCATTGAATAGTTTGTGTATGGACACGTGATTTCTTCTCTTACTTGCATCTGGGAATTGGAGGCGTGAAACTTGATTTAAATTGTTTTCCTCTGTGTCCTGCCTCTAGTGAGCAGCTGATGCAGCTGTACTGCGCCCGCCAGAGGAGGAGGCTGAACCGTGGCCTGCGTCGCAAGCAGCAGACTCTCCTTAAGCGCCTGCGCAAGGCAAAGAAGGAGGCTCCTCCCATGGAGAAACCAGAGGTGGTGAAGACCCACCTGAGGGACATGATCATCCTGCCTGAGATGGTTGGTTCTATGGTTGGAGTGTA